CTGCAGCGCCGAGCGAGGCCGCGTGGTCCAGCTGGGGGAGGGGAGGGTCAGGCGATGTCCCTAGTCCCCGCGCCACCCGTCCGTGCCTCCACCCAGCTATTTCCTCTCCCTCGATTCCCTCTGTAGCATCTGCCATTTGCAGAGCACTTATTGAGTGGCAGCTGTGTACTCAGTCCGATTTGGAGCCCCAACGAAGGGCTCCGGTAGTGAACAATTCAGACAGAACCCTCCAGGGGGAGCCTGTCGTTCGCGGTGCCAGGGGCTGGGAACAGCTCAGGGAAGTGGGTGTGTTGCCTGCATCCAGGAGATGAGAGGCGGCCCCATCGGGAAGGTGTCAGCCCCCGCCTCCCGAAAGAGGAGATGCCGGGGTACCCGGGAACAAACACAGCCCGCAGTCTGCCGCAGAGGTCTGGTATGCAGTAGGCGCTCCATAAGTGCCCACCTGTAGGAGCAGCACGTCATTGAGGTTGTCCTCCGGGTCGTAGTTGTTGGAGAACACCTGGCTGATGGTGAATCGCTGCTGCTCTGGCTCCGTGCTTTGCAGGTCGTGGGCACCCAGCACCACGGTCACCAGGTGGGCAGGGCTGGGGAGGGTGGGAATCATCTCTGGCCGCTGTCCCCTTGTCCCCATCAATCACCTCCGGCACGGGAGAGAGACCCCCTCCCTGGGATTGGCTCATACCGCTGCCCGGGACAGGGCACTCACATGTCCTGCAGGCAGTGGGCGGCGGTCAGTACAAAGCTGGGGTGGATCAGGGTCCCCCCGCAGAAGTGGCTCCCTGGGGTCCGAGTCAGCTGTAGCGACGCCATGAAGGGCCGCGAGTGGGGTCGCGCCTCCCGGCCACCCACGATCTCCGCGGCCCCGGCTGCCCCTGGGGGCAGGAATAGACATCAGGCCAAGCCCCGTGGTGTGAGGCCGAGAGCCCCCAGGCTGCTGTGTGACAGCTAGCGCACCGTTCAGCTCTCTTCGCCCTGGTCTGTGGTCCGCATATTGGGCTGTGATCACTCCCAGGCTCCCCGCCCCACCACCTGGGCCTGGGCGGGGAGGGCTTCTGGAAAGGGCGCTTTAATTCTCTTTTTTGCTTTCTTTCTTTTTTTTTTTGTTTTTTTGAGATAGGGTCTCATCTTGCTGTATAGGTCAAGGTGGCCTCGAAATCAGCATGATCCTCCTGCCTCAGCCTCACAAGTGCTGGGATCACAGGCGTGCACACCACACCTGGCTTTTTCTTTGTTCTATAAAATTTTTTTTAATAACTACTGGAAGTGGAACCCAGGGAGTCTTAAGATACTCACTTGAGTCCTAGGGTACATATGTAGGTCTTTTCATTTTTAAAAAATTTTGTTTAATTTTTGAAGAGCAGGGCCTATAATCCCAGCAATCTGAGAGGCTGAGGCAGGAGGCTGGCAAATTTGTCCCCAGTCTGGACAATAATTTTGTGTGTTTGTTGAGACAGGATCTCACTAGGTAGCCCAGTCTGGCCTTGAACTGGTGGCAATCTTCCTGCTTCAGCCTCCTGAGTACTGGGATGACAGCTGTGTGCCACTACGCCTGGCCAACTATGTGCAATTTGTGCAATTAATGACTTAGCAAGACCCTGTCTCAAATAAAAAATAAAAATAAATTTTAAAAAGGATGGGGATATAGCTCAGTGCAAAGGCCCAAGTAACACACACACACAACAAGCCCTGCCTGGTGGTGCATGCCTGCAATCCCAGCACTCAGAAGGCTGAAGCAGTTCTTGAGTTCTTGAGGTCAGCCTGGGCTACATATGGAGACCCTATCTCAGAAAAACAAAAAATCAAAAAACAGGTGGTAAAACCAGTCAAATCACTAGGGCCCTCCGTTCCCCTCCTTACTCAAGCAGCTAACATAATCCTCACTCGGTTCCCTGGAGGTCCCAGAGGATAACGCGCCCCCCCAAGTCAGCTGCCCGCAAGGATGGGCCACTCACCAGCCAGTAGCAGGAGGAACAGGACAGATGCAAGGGCCATGCCTGGCTCTGGGTCCCTGCCCAGCCCGGCCCCTCTTATATGGGACACACATGGAGCTGTTCGTTACTCCACAGCTGGGCCAAGGGGCCCACTTCCTCCTCCACCTGGGGCACTAGAGTCAAACTGCATCCTGGGAGGACTTGCAGTTTGGGAAGCAGGGTCCTGCACCATTCTAGGGGCCCACAAGGAGGCCCAGTGCAGTGGGAAGAGATCAGGACCCACTGCCATGTGACCCCCCCCCCAAAGACATCTTCCTGTCCAGCTCTGGTTTTGAGGATTCTTCCTTTGCCTTGAATGGATGGATCCTAACTAGGTATGATGGTGCACGCCTGTAATTCCAGAACCTAGAAGGTTGAGGCAGGAGGATCGCCATGAATTCAAGACCAGCCTGGGGTGCATAGTGAGCTCAAGGCTTGAACTACATAGCGAGACCTTGTCTCAAGAAACAAAACGACAAAACAAAAAATAAAAAGGGCACTGAATGTGGCTCAGTTGAAAGGTCCTGGGTCCAGTTCTCAGGACCAGTTCGCACACACACACACACACGCATGCTCACACACACACAGAAAGTTTAAACCTACAGAATCAGAAGAGGTCACTGAATTTGGGGACCAACATTTTTCTCTTCCGTTAGCTGTCAGTTGGAATTGATTTCCGGCATACAGAAGCCCTGAACGCCCCAGGATCCCCCCACTTCCCTGAACGTTGTCCCCTTACACAACTGCAGGGCCGTGATGACCACTCCCCAGCCCTCCAGATCCTGGGCTCCTCCCCCACGGGTCCAGGACCCCCCACTGCATTGTCATCTGTCACCTTGGGTGACCCGAGACCCTCCTCTGCCGGACACTGTCTGTGACTGGGCCATGACCACCTCTGCAGCCCCCAGTGAGGACGAGGATGTGGCTCACGCTGGCAACCTGACCTTGAGCCTGAGTCTCCTGTGTTCCTCCCTAGTTGAGGGTCAGGTCCCCCTTTGGAATTAGCTATGGTTCGCTTGCATGGGTTTCCCAGGGCAGAAGACTTGTGTTCTTCTGACTCTGGGAGATCTGGGACCAAATCTTGTTCCTTGGACATCAGTTGGTTGGAATTTTCTGACACCTACCCTCCTTTCTCCTTCTCTGCATTTTTTCTTTTCTTTTCTTTTTTTTCAGCATTGGGCTTGTTTTGTTTTGTTTTAAAGATAGGGTCTCACTGTGTAGTCCAGGCTGGCTTTAAACTCACAGCGATCCTCCTGCCTCAGCCTCCTGAGTACTGGGATTACAGGCGTGCGCCACCACACCCAGGCTTTCTTTTCCCTTTCTTTTCTTTTTAAATTTTCAACGCTAAACCTGGGGAAGCTCTGAGTTTGAACACCCCCAGCCCTTTTATTTCATTTATTTAGTTATTTAGTTGTTGTGATATTGGTGATGGAACCCAGAGCTTTGCATATGCTAGGCAAGCACCGTACCACTGAGCTGCGTTCCCAGCTCCCTTTTTTTTCCCCCAAATTTTTTCATTTGAGGTAAGATCTTACTAAATTGTGCAGGCCGGCCCTGAACTTCCAATCTTCCTGCCTCAGCCTCTGGAGTAACTGGTTTATAGGGATGCAACAGCCCTCCTTTCTGCTTTTTTTTTTTTTTTTTTCCGCTGCTTTGCATTTCCCAGCGAGGTGTGTGGCACATGCCTATAATCATGACACTCTGGGAGGCTAAAACAGGAGGTTCACAAGTTTGAGCCTGCCCCGGAGAACTTACTGACTTAGCAAGATCCTGTCTCAAAATAAAAATGATAAGAAGTTCGGTACGGGGCCCTGGGTTCCATCTCCAGTTCTGAAAAAAAAACAAAAACAAGAAAAAGAAAGAAATCTCTACCCCATCTTGGGGAAGACCCCACAATATCTACTCTCTGAGGGTCTGCTAGCGTCCATATTACCCACAAGCAGGGAGCTACTGGGCAGATCTGTTCCCAAACTGGTTTTTCTCATTTAACAGAAAGATCTCAGGCCGGGCACCGTGGCTCATGCCTGTAACCACAGCTACTCAGGAGGCTAAAACAGGAGGATCACAAATTTGAACCCAGCCCAAGCTAAATAGCAAGACTTTGTCTCAAAATCACAAGGACTCAGTGGTTAGAGCTTATCTACCATGCATGAAGTTCTGGGTTCCTTCATTAGTGACACAGAAAAAGAAAAACAACATCGTCCACCTCTCTAGCCCTTGGTTTCCCCGTCCTTACCCAGAGAATGGATGAAGAATGTGGTCCAGCCACACACTGGAAAAGGGTGAGGCTGACACGTGACTCAGCATGGATGGACCCTGAGGACGTCGTGCTCGGTGAGAGACACCAGACACAGGGCCCACAGCGTGGGCTCCGCGGACAGGAAACGCCCAGGACAGGAAGTGGAATCGCGGGTGCTAGGGTGTGGTCTGGATCAGCACTCAAGGCTTGGAGGTGAGAGAGACAGGAGGGCCCCGGGGCCAGGTGGGATCTGGGGATGACAGATGCCCTAGATGGGGACTCTCACTGGGACTCTCACTGGGGTGGAACCCTGAGGCCTCTGTGGTTCAGGCTGGGGAGAGGAAGTGAGGCTAGGAGCCACGGACTCAGCCCCTTCCCGCTCCAAGTATGAGCACAACAGGAAACAGCTTTGGGGACCTGAGGGGAAACTGAGGACAGGAGGCCGTGGGGCCTGTCTGTCTTTGTTTTGTGTTGTGTGGGGTTTTGTTTTTGTGGTTTTTTGAGACAGGGTCTCACTGTGTAGTTGAGACTGACCTGGAACTCACTAGGTAGCCCAGGCTGGTCTCGAACTCACAGCGATCCTCCTGCCTCAGCCTCCCGCCTCCCCCTCCCTAGTGCTGGGTTTACAGGAGGTTTTGTTTTTGTGGTTTTTTGAGACAGGGTCTCACTGTGTAGTTGAGACTGACCTGGAACTCACTAGGTAGCCCAGGCTGGTCTCGAACTCACAGCGATCCTCCTGCCTCAGCCTCCCAAGTGCTAGGAGGACAGTTGGTGCACCACCAGTCCCGGCTGCCTATCTCTGTCTTTATCTGTGTCTTTCTGTTTCTCTCTTTCACTCTTTCTGTACAGAGCAGGCAAGTCCTCAGTGACAGGAAGTTGATTTGTGGTGCCTGGAACTGAGGGAGGGAGATGGGTTTTGTCTCAGGGATGAGACTGCTGTGAAACTACATGGGGTGATGGTTGCATTGCATTGTGAATATTCTAAAAACCACTAAATGGTGTTTCTCTTGTTTGTTTTTTTTTTGGTTTTGTTGTTGTTTTTCACTAAACGGTGTTTTTAAAAATAGCTGATTTCCTGTGATATGAATGAATGTTACTGGACATTCATCTGGCAGTGGGGTTGGAACCTAGGGCCTTCACACAGCTCCATCTCCAGTGATTTTTGGATTTTTTAAATTTTTGAGACAGGATTGGGTGAAATCAACTAATCCCCCTGGCTGGGCTCAAACTTGTGACCTTCTTGTCTCAGCCTCCCGAGTGCTGGGATGACCAGTGTGAGCCAGCATCACAGCCAAGGCAGAAGTGACGAGTCTGGGGGACTCGGCCCTTTCTAGGGTGTTGAGGGGTGGGGCCAGGTACATTCTGGGGCCCTGGGGCTCAGATCCAGCCTCAGTTGAGCGTCCCCTCTCTGTCCTCCCTGCCTACCGCCTGACAACCGTCTACCTATTCCAGCCAAGCTCTGATCTCACCTCTCCCAGGCCCCCACTTCCTTCTTGTTTGTTTGTTTTGGTTTGGGTTATTTTTTGAGACATGGGCTTACTGTGTGGCCCAGGCTGGCCTCGAACTCATGGTGATCCTCCTCCTGCCTCAGCCTCCCGAGAGGCATACACTGTTGTGCCTAACCCCCATGTCCTTCTTGTCCAGGGCATGAAGTACCCACAGACTCCAGAGTGCAAAGCTCCTTTCCTTCCCAGTTGGGGACCCCCGGGGGTGGGCTGTGCTGAGCCAGGAGCCCTCTTCTGCTCTGAACTCCCCCATGGTCCCTCGGTGCGTCCAGTGGCCTGCTCCCCTCCCCCACAGGGAGTCCAGCCCCCTCCTGCTTTTCCCTGAGCTGTCCGGAAGCCGCCCCCAGGCCCTCTTCCTGCTCTTGCCTCCCACAAGGCTCTGAGGAGTGATTGGCACACACTCTTCTCCTGCTGCCTCCTGAGGGCCGTTTGTGGCCACCTTTCAACACCAGGGTTCTCAACGGCTGCCCAGGCCTTCCCCACCCTGCTGGCTGCATGAGGAAACTGAGGCAGGGTCCACAAGCAGGCGCCCTGCCCTCCTGTGGCTGGATGTCCACCCGAAGGTGGCCGCATGCAGTCAGCGTTCCTCAGCTGCCGTGTGGTTGTCTTGTGTATTCAGCAGGCAGCCGATGTACACTTCCCACTGGGCAAGAGCACTTGTTATCCCCATTCCCAGGGCAGGAAACTGAGGCCCAGGGTGGGATTCCAAGTGCTGTATCAGGGAAGGTGGGTGTGGTGGTGCATACCACTCATCCCAGCACTCAAGAGGCTGAGGCAGGAAGATTGTTGTGATTTAGGGGCCGGCTTGGGCTCCATATTGAGACCCTGTCTCGGAAAAACAAAACAAAAACCACATAAAAACAAAAAAAAAAACAAGCATTTGGGAGAGATGTGGGAAAGGCATTCTTACCACCTAGAAAAAAAATCCTTAATTTTTTGTTTGTTTTTTTGTTTTGTAAATAAGGTCTCACGATGTAGCCCAGGCTGGCCTGGAACTCTCAGCAATTCTGCCTCAGCCTTCGGAGTGATGGGATGACAGACGTGCACCACCATGCCCTGCTTACCACCCAGAAAAATCTTTGCCAACATGGAGCTGAGTCTCTGAAAACATGAGTCAATTTCAGAAAAACACTGTGAGTAATAGCGAGGCAGACAGCAAACGGGCAAGAGCCCGCGGGGGGCGGACTGCAGGGATGCGAAGCGCCGGCGCTCAGTGAACAGAGCCTCCCCTTCCCCGCACTCCAAAGAGCCGCTGAACTGCAGGATGCTCGGGTTCTTTCCTGTTCCCAGTGGGGCCCAAACACTGTGCAGGGCCGTGTCCGCGGTAGGTGCTCAGAGATGGTGAATGTGTGTACAGTATTAAAATCCTGCCATTCCTAGCCTGGAAACCTTGGACCGGGACCTAAGCCCGCCGGGGCCTCAGTTTCCCGTGTGGAAGTGAGGGTCAGCCGGTCTGCACCCCACAGGGCTGTGTGAGTTGGAGGAGACGCCTGCATACAGAAAGCGCTGCCTAAGTGCGGGTACGGTCGATTTGTCCCCAGCGCCCTCCAGCCAACCCTCCGGCTAGGATGAGGCCGGGTGGGCAGAGGAAAGGGACAAGGGACGGGGACGGGGACAGGGACCGGGCGGGGCTGGCCCCGGACACCTCGAGTCCCCACTCCTGCCCAGGAGTCTTTGTCTCCTCATTCGGGCGCCTGGGGAGCTCGCCATGGAAACGGGTACGCGCGCGGGTGCGCGC